GTGGGGCATGGACCTGTTGGGCCCTTTTCCAAAGGCGCCCGGTCAGATGAAGTACCTGATCGTGGCGGTCGACTACTTCTCCAAATGGATAGAGGCGGAGCCCCTGGCCACAGTCATAGAGGCCCAGGTGCGCAAGTTCACCAGGAATAACATATTCACCCGATTTGGCCTGCCTGAATCCATCGTCACAGATCACGGAAAACAGTTTGACTGCAAAAAATTCGTCGAGTTTTGTGATGACAACGGGGTCGTGTTGCGTTTCTCTTCGGTGGCCTACCCACAAGAAAATGGTCAAGCAGAGGCAGCTAACAAAAGCATTCTCCATGGCCTACACACACGACTGACAGGCGCCAAGGGGAGATGGGTGGAAGAGCTGCCAAGTGTACTGTGGGCGCATCGTACTACCTACAAAACTGCCACAGGAGAAACACCCTTTACCCTCACCTACGGGAGCGACGCAGTCATTCCGGTGGAACTCAACACCCCGAGTTACCGTATAGCCCAGTATGATCCGAATGACAATGACGAGGCACGATCAAATGACTTGGACATGGTGGACGAGGTGAGAGAAGTAGCGGCGATCCGCCTGGAAAAAATGAAGAGGCAGGTGGCCCGGTACTACAACAAGAGGATGCGTGCCCACGGGATCACCGAAGGCGCCCTGCTCCTCAAACGTGACTTTCGCCCCGATGCCCGCGAAGGGAAGTTGGCACCAAAATGGAAAGGCCCATATCGAATCCGAGAGGTCGTAGGACCCAGTACGTTCAAGTTAGAGCATACTGATGGCCGAGTAGTGAAAAGGACGTGGAATGCACAAAACCTGCGGCCCTACTTGGCGGGCGCCATATCTGGAGAGGACGCCTCGACTTGACAGACGCCAAAGAGGAGGGAATTCTGAAAAGTGTTTGTTTTGTGTTAGGACAACTATGTAGGGTGTTGTGTTGTGACTAAAGCGCCCAAAGAGTAGCGCCGTATTGTGACTAAAGCGCCCTTTCTATAGCGCCTCAATAGTGATTGTGTGTTCGGTTTAAATTGTTTCGTATGACACAAAAGCGCCCTAACATAGCGCCCGGCAACACCGAGTTAATTAAAGCGCCACATCTCGCGCCCATCTTTTGCAAAAGCGCCCTAACATTGCGCCCTCACGAAAAACATCAATGCGCCCAACTTCGCGCCCAAAACCAAAAAAGCGGCCTCATTTCTTTCGCCCCCGTGAAAAACAGACTAAGGCATGAAAGCAATTGGCACGAAGCATACGTTTTCACATTATAATAAATGTACGAAAGTTGAGAAAGACAAATACAAACAAGCGAGGAAAACATAAAGGAAAATGAAAGCAAGACGCCCACTAATCTACTCTGCGCCCGAGTTCGCATCTCCAGCACTAGGCGCCCTCTGAGAAGGTGGGGTAGGAGCAGATGGCTCAGGCGCCTCGCTTGTTCCGCGAGGCGTCTCCATTCCACCGATCACATACTCAACCATCTCCGAGAGATCCCAAGTAAGGTCGGGGTGGTCCTTCTGCAACTTCACCCTCAAAATCTCGATGCCGGTCAGAATGGCGTTGGCGCACATTCCCTTCCCAGTCTCTGACTCCTCGAAGTTGTCCAAAGAGTGTCGCAATCCGGAAATTTCTTTCCGGGCCTCCTTCAAGGATTTCTTGGTCTCCTTGTAGGCATCCTACATCCTCTTCTTCTCCTCCTTGAGGATGTCTATCTCGCTGGCCTGGGCACCAGTCTCCTGCGCCAACACATCCTTCTCCGCTTGGAGATCCGCCAGCTTCTTCCGCTCCTCCTCGAGGACGCCTTGAAGGCGTGACACCTCCATGGCCGCGTTCACCTGGGCCTCCTCGCACTCCTTCGCAAACTGCTCGCGGCGTGCAGTCGCGTTCTCCAAATCTAACTTCATCTGGGAAGCAGAGGAGGAGGCCTCGAGCGCCTCTCGTTTTGTTTCATTGAGGCGTCGGGCGCCTCTCTCGGCAAATAGGAGGATCTACATGGTCCAAATAAAAAGGGTCAGCAGATTATACAAGTAAACAAAAAACATCCCCACAACCACACAAAAAAGCAAGTACCTTGGCGCCCACTTGGGCCAATTTCGCGAAGAGATGATCCCCGTTCATCTCGGACGGAACCTCCCACGATTTGGCGGCCGCAATAGCCAACCCCATCGCGCAGCCCCGGTCGAAGGCCACTAAGGGAGAGCAGGGCAAGTTAATACGCCCCACATCGGCCCGATGTGGCCGAAAGATGGGAGGGCGCCCGTCAGGGCCAACAAAACGCCCCTCTGCATTGAGGCTATATCGGGCGCCCCCACCCTCACCCCCTCCTCCTCTTCTTCGGCGGCGGGAGCGACGCCTACTTTTCCTTTCCCCTTGGCAGCTTTTGTGCGGGTAGAGGCTAAGGGGGAACCGGCCCGCTTTCCTCGACGGAGCAGAGGCTCCTCTTCCTCCTCCTCCGCGGAATTAACTTCCTGCTCGACAGGATCCGCGGGCTCTGCATCAGGCGCCCCACCTTCTTCTTCCGGAGCGGAAGATGCCACGCTGGCTGTATGTGCACGAGCGGTGCCGCCCTTCACCGCCCTCTTCTTCCTCTTCTTGGGGCCAGCGGCCGGCGCCTGTGATTGTGTGGCAGGCGCCTCTTGTTGAATAGGTACCCTCTTGTGCCAGCCGACTCTTCATCAGCCTAGCGATGCTCGAATAATCTGCCCCTGCATATGGTGAAAAACAAGTTAGTTTACAACACAACAAGAGCAAGGGAACAGAACACCTAGACGCCTACAAACCATCGTTATAGTAAGCCTCAATAATGGGCGGGCGGTTTTCTGCTGGGCGCAAGTCCACGGGTTCCGCACAAATTAAGCGGGCGCCGTCCTTCTCCGACTTCGACAAAACCACTGGCGAGTTAAAGCCCTCGACCTGACCCAACTCCCAATGCCTAACGAAGGCGCCCCCACTTTCAAAGAAGGAGTCGCGATAGGCCTTCACGAAGAAAAAACCGTTAAACCAGCTTCGGTTCAACTTGGGACACCGTATCACGAAGTGATAGGGGCGCTTCTTTCGTTTTTGGAGAGACAGGCAATTGTCAAGAGGCGCCATCTTGAAGAAATATCTGAACAGGTTGAAGGTAGGCTCCACGTTATGCTGCCGGCACCTCAACTTGAATAGAATGACGACCGTGATAACCGAGGGGGACAGGCGCCCAAGAGGGCAGCCGCAAGTCGTCAGGATTCCCTCCATGATTGGGTCAAGGGGAAACTGCAGCCCGAAACGGAAGTATTCTTGATAAATCCCGATCCACTTCGGACCGCAGACGCCTACCCGAGACATAGGCGAAGGAGGCGCATACCACCAATCTCGTGGAAGTCGGAGGCTGGTCACCAGCTCATGGACCCGACCCAAAGTGACGGTGGACGTATGCTTTGGCCCGGCCACCTCGAAGGGCAAGTGAGACGTCTCGGTGGGAAGATGATCGGGAGGAAAACACTTCTCCCACGAAGTGATCTTGTAGGATCCATCCGCAGGCAAAAACCCAGGCGCCGAAGAACTTGACGGCCCAGTAGACGTTGACGGTCCAGCAGATGCTGAGGTAGGTGCCCGCTCTAAACCAACAAATGACCCAGACGCAACGCGGACACGGGGTAAGTGACGCCCTACCCTAGGTAACTAGAATAAACCCAACGAAACCGACGAAGGAAAAAGGAACCCTTACCGCGTTGAGCAGGGCGCCTCGTTTCATCACCCGCGCCAGATGCGCCTGCGCCCGAGGCACCGTGTCCCGTAGATTTGTCTTGTTGCGGGGAAGACATTTTGGATGGGAGCGCTGTGACGAAAGCGAAGGCTGACAGGAGAGAGGACCGAGGACAGAGTAGAATCTAGAGAGAGGTCAGAGTAGAATCTAGAGAGAGGTCAGAGTGAAATCCTAGAGAGAAGTCAAATGGAAGAAAGTGACAGACTCTCAGGGGGTGGGGGGTATTTAAAGGAAAACGAATGCCCCCACCAAATCTCTTCGCCGCGCGCCACGTGTCAAGCATCCCGGACGGACCCTTCCGCTTCCCCCACCTTTTCACCTTTTCGCGAACCACAAAACCCAAATCCCGAGCTCACGGGCCAATGACACGGGCAGACCCTTGAGCTTCCCCCACCCTTTCCTTTTTGGGGAAATTTCCCAACTCCCAATTTCGAATTTTCTTTTTTTTTAAAAAAAATTCGAAATCTCAAATTTCCCCGGCAAGCAAAGCGTGGGTGAGGGGGGCATAAGGGTTAGGGACACACATCAAGACGGACACCGCGAGGAGGCGCCCATGGGCCACAAGAAGGAAACGTCAGGAATGGCGAAGCCGGCAAAGACGCCCACAAAAAGGGTCGCAGAAAGAAAGCACACGAAGCAGTGAACCTAGGCAAGGGTCGGGCGTCTGAAAGCGAGGAGTGGTTGGTAAAGGCGCCCCTGTTTGGCGAGAAGCATAGGAACACAAAGAAGAGCATGTTTCAAGGAGCACCGTCAAAGGTGAGACGTCCGCCAGCGAAAGGGGAGGAGCAAACGCACCCCTCCGAACCACGAAGGAAGTAAAAATACAACATAGGGCGCCGAGATGCAGGCATCCTGTAGCAAAGAGGACGCCGGACCGCAATTAGAGAATCAGTCAGGCGATCGAAGGCGGAGCCACGAGCACCTAACTGGGGGGGCAATTGTTGGGGGTATTACCTAGCAACTAGGAGTTTGGGCCCCCAGACAAGGGACCTGGGGGCAAGGCCCAAAAGAGGGTCCTGTGAAACACTTCAAGGCCCAAATAAGAGGAAGGGCGCATGAAGACAAGGCACTAAAGGCCAAAGGAGTCCAGGCTGTCAGGTGGTCCATCGCCTGGGGGCGCCTGTCACCAGTGGCGGACCCAGGATTGTCGGAGAGGTGTGTCGCCGATAAAATACAATAATAATTAAAATAAATTAAATTAAAAATTAAGTAAAAATTAAAAGAAATTAATTCATAAAGTTCACAATGTCATGTTTACAACGAACCGCGACGACTTTTCATCTGCTGAAATGTCTCTAAAATACATTCATCACTTATGCTGCAAAGTAAATCTTTTTCAATATACACAACTAAACAATCATTCATAAATTGGTCACTCAACCGATTTCGAAGATCGTTCTTGATTATCTTCATAGCTGAAAATGCTCTTTCGCAGCTTGCAGTTGCCACAGGTAAGGTCAACACCAACTTTAACAGCAAGTAAACTAAAGGATAAAGAGTGTCCTTTCCCCTTTCCACCAATTTCCTAGCTAGCTCGTCGATTCCTCGCAATCCATCAAAGCTCTTATCCTCCTTGACATGAGAAATGTAGCCCCCCAATTGTTGATGAAGTCGTGAGAGCACATTGGATGGAAACTCCTCGGGATAAAACTCAGTAAGACTCATCAACTTTGCTTTATCAAAAGAAGCAAAAGAGTTAGCTGGACTAAAACAAGAAATGCAGTCCAACAATCGAGTGTTCACCTCACCAAATCGAGTATTCAATTCTTGCAACTGCAAATCTATAACTGCATAGAATAAATCGACTTGATAGTAATGCAAGTTTGTAGGCTGATGAGGGGTGCTACGTCTTGTTCTTCCAGCAAGAGTGAACAAGTCATTCATGTTAGGAACATGAATTTGTTCCTTAGTGCAGAATGAAACCACATCATCAAATAGAGGTTCCCACCCTTCATCTCTCAACTCTTGTAGTCTCTTCTTTGAGCAATTAATGAGTTCCATAGCATTAACAAGGTCTTGATCTTTCCTTTGTAATGCTATAGACAACTCATTTGTAATTGCAAGCACTTCAATCATCATCTTCATGTGAAAGACAAACTCAAAAGTTTGCATTTGAAGCAGAGAATTCACTACTTTACCTTGTGCCTCCTTTGAACGTGTGTCAAATTGCATCTCATTCAGTACATCAACCACAGAACTGAACATATCCATAAGATTTGTAAGTGCCCCAAGATGGGATCCCCAACGTGTATCACCGGGCCTTTTCAACCCTATTTGTTGATTCAATCCTTGTCCACTCTCCAAATCACCAATAGATAGAGCCTCAATAACCCTTGCGGCATGCTTGTCTCGAAGAGAATCGACCCGCTTAGGTGATCCACCAATCACATTGAGCAATGAAGCAAAATGCTCAAAGAAGCGATTATTGAGCACATGATCTCTTGCAACAGCTACTAGTGTCAACTGAAGTTGATGAGCAAAGCAATGAATGTAATGAGCAGATGGATTCTCAACCAAGATTAATGATTTCAGTCCATTGATTTCCCCTCTCATGTTACTAGCCCCATCATATCCTTGCCCCCTCACCTTTGCCAAACTTAGCCCATGTAATCCAAGAATTGATTCAATCTCCTTCTTGAGTGTAGCAGCCCTAGTATCAGCGACATGAGCAATACCAAGAAATCTCTCAATAACACAACCATTCTTATCAACATAACGTATAACCAGAACCATTTGCTCCTTAATTGACACATCACGAGATTCATCCACCAATATGCAAAAAAAAGAATCTCCAAGATCTTTGATGATCTCTTGACTTATTAGAGATGCTATTGCTCGAACAATATCCTTTTGAATCTTGGGAGAAGTCAGTTGAAGATTTTTTGGAGCATTCTCCAACACAACACTTCGCACTTCCTTATTCTCATTAGCAATAACCTCCAAAAAGTACCGAAAATTTCCTTTGTTTTCTGAAGATTCACTTTCATCGTGCCCTCGAAATGGCAATCCTTGGTGTAGAAGAGCCTTAGTGGTAGTAACTGATGCCTGCAAACGAATACGATATTCTCTTTTTTGTTTATCTGTTTGTCTCACCAATGCACTTGAGATGCTCTGTGATTGTCTCAACAAATCTTCACCTTTCTTAGCAGCCACATTGTGAGAACTATTAGGGCCACCAACATGATCATCTAATCGCGTCTTCCTATTCCAACATCTCACCCCATTTGATATGAATGCTTCTCCACTACCATTTTTAGATTCAGATACAAACAAATAGCAAGGTAGACAGTATACTGCATCATCATGAACACTATACTCTAGCCAACCCTTGTGCCCAGTATACCAAGAAGGATTAAATCTTCGTTTTTCTCCACTATAGTCGGTATATGGGAAAGAACCTTTTGGTTGACAAGGACCCTTTATCAGATATGCTCTTCTAATCTCATCTTGCATATTAATAGGGAAAGTTGAAAACTTTCTCCTCAACCCCGGATCGGCTTCCAATTTGTTCACATCAACCTCATCATTCTCATGTTCTTCAGGAAATGAAGAAAACTTACTTGAGATGCCACTTGTTTGATTAATCGATGGCGAGGAAGATTGAGAATCATCATGCTTCCTTTTACTTGATTCTCCTCCTAAATTGTTAATTTGTGGAGTAGTTTTGGTTTTCTTTGGGACCTTTGGGTAAAATCTCTCCATGTCTGGATACAGAGTACAACATAAATTAGCTTATAAACAAATTCATTCAATTCATCCATGAATTACAAATTGACAAATAAAATTTAGGTTAAATGGGAAAACAAGAAAAACCCCTAAACTTTGCAATTTAGGGTTCATAACAGTAAAATTACTTACATTTGGCCAGCTACAAGAAGTGCCCACTTCACCGGCTACGAGGAGTTGCCGCCGCCGCGCTGCCCGCCGGTGAATGGATGTCCGCCGAGGCCTCCCTGTGTTGCCGTGCCGACTTGCCGCAACTGCCTTCGCCTGGATTTTTGGTTCGCTTGGGGTCTGGGGATTTTATTTTTTGCGAGCTGCGTGCGAGAGAAGAGGGAACAGAGGGAATAATGGGATGGGTAGCTGGGGCTTGGGATATGGACAGGGAAATGGCAATTGGGCCATTAATTTGGGGATTGGGCCATTAATTTGGGGATTGGGAGGGAAGGACTACTAATGGGAGGAGGTGGCCGAATGGGCTATTGCCCATTTGACCTTTGATTTTTTTTTTCTCTATTTAATTATAGGCCCAGCCCAGCCAGCCCAACACTATATTGTATGGGTTGAGAGTGTTTTTTTTTTTTATATGAAGGATATGATTATGTTTTAGGAGTTATTTTTAACAAAATTAAAAAGGATTATGATTAAGATTGATTCATTTGGATAATAATTTCTTCGAGTATAGTGAAGGTGTGTCGGCTATAATTATTGAAGGTGTGTCGGCTATCCCGAAGTAAAAAAATTTGTACCAAAAATATGTAGGTCCTTCGTAAAATTCTCGAGCGAGGGTGTGTCGGACGACACACCCTGCCCCTTCTTAGGTCCGCCACTGCCTGTCACGCGTCAGAAGCCTGACAAGGTGGTTGGGGTGCCTGACAAAGAAAGTACAGAGCATTAAAGGGGCACAATGACGTGGAGGATATCAACCTCGAGTTCGGTGAGTATAAATAGGGGCAGTCGGTAGCATTTACGCAGGTTGGACTCTCTCTCACCAAAATTACTATTTGAGAATACTTCACTCTCTAAGGAGCTAACTTGGGCGTCGGAGGATTAACGGGCCGAGGCGCCCTCCTCTTTGTGTGTGTAGGCAGACGCCGGGCTAAGGGGGACGTCCGTATAACGAGGGAGCATCGTGGCACAAACAATAACCTTCTAGATTCCCTCTGGAGTCCCCTTTTGAAAATGTTGACTAAGTCCTCCAATAATATATATAGTAGAAGTTTATCTATTTTTCTACATTTCAAAATTTATTACCCTCTAGACTCCCTCTTGAATCCTTGTTTTTGAAGCAATAGCCAAAATTCCTAACCAACTAGACTGCAACAGATTTTTTGTATTTTTTCAATTAAATTTATAAAATAAGGTAACATCTTAAAATTAGAGGACTTATCCACTGCTATAGTTTGCGTTCCAAATAATCAATAAATTTTTAGGTTTTATCAAACAGTTAAGCGTGATATACCTAGCTCTATAAATTAACTAATTGAGTTTTATAATCACAAAGAACTTCATCAAGAATCAAATAATTATAGATTTAGTGATTTAGAGTTTAAGTAATTTATTTCAGCTTATAAATTGATTAGTTTACATCTCTTTGTGGGAATACATAAACTATTATTGAAAGTAGTATATAAATTTTTATTTCTAATTAAATAAAACACTCGACAGTCGATGGCCTAGCTATGATGTAAATAATTCTATGTGTATAAGAAAATGCTATGGTTTTGCAAGGAAACATCTCAATGTTAGAAATGAAAAACCAAAAATCACAGACTAATAATTGCAATAAGGGTTGAGATTTGGGAATCATAAGCATAGAAGTGAGATACTAAATGTCATTGACCAATTTTTAAATTAACAAAAAGTGGTGTATATATACAAGGAAATTCTATGGTACTATCGACGAGTTTTGGGTTACAATATTTCAATGAGGCAATTTGGCTTAATTTTTTTTTTTAAAAAAATTTCAAATATGCTTGTCTAGCAACATAAATTAGGAAGGCAACAATTAGGCTGACTCAATTTGAATTTCTTGATTTTAAATCAATTTGAGTTGACAACACAATTGTTAAATGAGGAAATTGTGAGGCAATTGAGTTTAAATTGCTTCATTTAAGAAATTCACCATCCAAACGACCCATTGGTGAATTTGATCTTCTGATTTAAGGTTTACACAATTAGGGTATAAAATTCGCTCATTTGAGTTCAGGTTCAAAATTTGCTCATTTTCCTTAATTTAACTTAAAAATATATTTATTTTGATCGAAGGTCACCTCTACATGAATAGCTTCAGCCTAAAAAATTATGGTTTAAGGTTTAGAGAATTAGGGTCTATGATTACAAAGTGACCAATTACCTTCACTAAGAAAATTGATCACTGAAATGACATATTGATGTCTATTATTATATAAGATAAAGAAATAAGTCGGTTGAAAAACCTTCATATATTATCCTATACTCTAAGACTTAGACACCTCCATTCAGACATGGATACTCAAACGTAAACATAATTATTTGTTTGTACGTTAAATGTTGGAAATTTTCAATATAATTTCAACTTCATTTAGGCAAGAGTCATATTTCTGGATTGACAATATTTTTCTTAAACTCAAAGAATGGATTGACTTACATTAATAAATAAAAATCATTGACTTATGCTTCATGTTTGATTGAGTTTAACCAATAATGAGTGTGATTGTCAGATAAAATCTGCATTAAATTTGCACACAAGAGATACGAATATTTCAAAAGTTGAAATAAAACAACAAAAAGAAAAATTGAAGACATACATAATTCAAGTAGTGCCATCAATTATTTAAGAAAATATAACTGAAAATTAATCGGCCAATAGGCCAAGCACAAGACTAGTCTATAAAATATGACAAGCACTTTATCCATATACACTTCACCCTTTCAAAATTCGAAACTACCTCTGCATCCACGTCAACACCAGTTCCACTAATAAAATTTTTGCTTAACTCCTTTTTCTTTTTATTTCTTATTTTTTTCCTTCATAGATCAAAGTAGTGTTGTTAAAATCGGACCAGATAACAACTCGAATTAGTGAGTGATTTAAGATTTATCGAATAACCGGTATAAAACTGGCGGCATACAAAATTTTCAAATAAAATAACTATGACTTCACGGTACATATAAAAATATCGTATAGTAAATGTTCTCTTTTACTTTTCTTTTTATTTTATTTCCCTTTTTAGCTTTCTATGTTCTGATTTATGAAATTGGGGTTTCTTTCTTTAACACGCAACTGGCAGTCATTAGAAAACCTTAAATTCAAAAAAGGTTTCTGTAAACTGCAAAGGCTTTCTTTAAAAGTTAAGGAAACACATTAATTATAGCTAATTAAAATATGGACGGAAAAAGTAATTAGGGCAATCTTTCTTCCGAGAAATTTTACAATGCTATATAGTATTGGCGCTATAGGTTTTTGTCTTTATGGTACAACTTAAAATTGTACATTTACGTTGTGGTACAACTTTAGATTGTATCTATACTTTTTGTACAAATTCTTTTATGGTACAACTTGAACTTGTACCTTTATGCAGTGTCCATGAAACCGTACCGGCGGTTCAACCACGAAATACCATTATCGGAGGCTAAACCAGTAGACGGTATTTACCGGTATAACGGTTGAACTACGGTTAAATCACGGTTTTACCATAAAATACCCTACCACTGACTTTCCCGGTACGATCTCCGGTACGGTTTCATGGACCATGCCTTTATGTGATGGTACAACTTCAAGTTGTAAAGTTGTACCATAACATAATGGTATAAATTGCTTTATGGTACAACCTAAACTTATACATTTAATGTTATGGTACAGCTTTGAATTGTACATTAAAACACCAATGCTATATAGTATAGTAGAAGTGCTCCTTTCTTCCAATATTTATTTCCGTAATATTCAACATTTAAAAGCAACCAAATCGGGCGATTCGAGTTGATCGTTTCAACCGGTTGAATCGGCTACCATCCGGCCGGCTAGATTTAGTATCATTTTCATACTGTTGGAATTGTGATTATGGCCGAGTCTGATTTTCTCCGATCCGGACCTGTTTTGATCACAATGAATCTAACAATCTAAATTGAAAGAGTAGTTTAATTTAATTTTATTATTTTTCCTTTTTAGTTTCTCAATAATCCAATTAAATATCCACCTAGTACAATCTCCCTGTCTTTTGAATTCCCTTGCTATTCTCAATAGATCTGTATTTATTTCATTTCAACTATGAATTTAGATATTTGTGTTTCAAAAGAATAAAATCTAAAGTGATCTGCCCAATGATTCCATTTTCATATATGTTAAAAAATAAATGCAAAATACATCTATATAGCCAAACTTTCGCGTTTGTAACAATAATAGCTATTTTTCGGAAAATACAAAAAATAACAAGAATTTTGAAAGTTGCATGATAAATATAATTATTTTCGTTACAAAATTTAACCGAGTTAGGAACATCGTTAGTTCGATTAACGTCAGGTTGACTGAGATGCCAAATCATCACACACGTGAGCGACAGGTCATCATATAATTGCCATGCCGCCTCATGAGAGGGGCCTTGTGCATGATTGAGAAGTCCATGCCACTTCACAAGAGTGGCCATGGACACGAATGAGAAGGGTGTGGTGATGGAGCATTATATCACTAGTGAATATGTCTCAAGAAGTCCATGACCGTAGACAAGAAGGCCATGGACATGAGTAAGAAGTTC